TAATTCTCTTTCTACTCCTATTTGCTGGTAGCGATGCCGCAGGAAACGTTGTGCAAAGAATTGACAAATTACTAAGCGAAATCCCCACGGTAAGGTGTTCATCACGACCTTTTTGAGCAATTCGACGCAAGATGTGTTCTAGACCCTGAACAAGGCTGACCTTGTCGCCGCTTACGAGATGATTCACGCACATGAAGGAGGTGTCGAGAGGGAACTTCAGCTGAATCCACAGCAACAAGAAGCCTTGAGACATCTCGAAGCGGTGAGAGAAAGCACACTCACAGCTTACAGTGTGGGGAGCCGTACAAAAACCTTTTCTATAGGAAGCGACATCATTACATCAACATGATCCACAACTTAGTGAAGGTATTGCCGGAAGTATCGACGCTATCAACCGTAACACACCGTTGGGAGAGCTTTTGTATCAGGGTGACATTGTCCTGGACATGTACGAGTTTGAGCTCCAACAAATTTCGTTTTTACTAAGCTGTTGTTTACAGTGAGCAAGCCCGCACAATTGCCGCGCAAGAAGCAAAGGAAGAAATAAGCAGAGATAAACGTCAGGCAATGAATTTCAAAACAAACCCAAACTACAGGTGGCCAAATGCCACAGTGACATACTCAATCCACTTTGGAGTAGGTAAGCGTAATTTCTTTATAGTACATACCTAAGCAACGAGATGATTTCAGATCATGATGTAAGAGAAGTATTCAGGAAAGCGGTAAACGAGTGGCAGAGAGACACTTGTGTCAATTTCGTTGAGGATCCTAGCTGTAAGAACGAATGTGCGCTTTTAATATCTATAAACTCCCATTAAGCAAAGCAACGCATTGAGCTGGTGACAGAGAGTGGCTGCTTCTCGAATATGGGATATATTGGCAGAATACAAAAGCTTTCCCTGGGAGATGGATGCGATAAGGTATTCAAATCATATTCAGCAAATCTGTTGGCAGCTTTTCCTTCGATGAATACATACAGTCTGCTTTAATTCTAACCAGGCCGAAATTGGCATGGCGGGAATCCGCGTCGC